ATATATATATATATATATATATCATCTTCATGTTGGGCCAAGCCGACTCAAGAACTGTCGTGAGATTCATAAACATGCTCTCTAAAGTGTCAATGAGCACAAAGCATAATGTTTGTTACATCAAGGAAGAAACCTGTATCAGATGACGCAGTTCGGTAAGAACATGATATGAGTTTCATCCGATTCCTCCCAGAAACGACTGCAAAGACAAATATTAAACACTTTTTTTAAGCTTCTTGACATGATTTTCGAACAATTTAGTTCCCATCTCGGAGTGAACTTACCTCGACTTTAGGTGAACTGCCCTACCGTCCCAACGACATGCTGCCGAAGCCAAACCTCGACTTCTTATCGGCTGGTTTTAGTATTTGGAACGAACACATTAAATTTTCATCCACGCGCATCATTGCACCTGCATTATCGAACTCTCCACAGTAATTTGGAGCAGAAAATATTGTTACAAGTTTTCGATTTGCGAAAAACTCGTACCCGTCCTCCACGACCTGCATGCATATTGAAATAGTGTAAGTGTCTGCATTGTGTAGGTCCATGATGTTATCAGAGATATGATCCCACCTGGTGAGCTCTACAAATCAAATCAAGATCATGCTTTCGAAGAAACTCTATAACTCGATCCACTCCGAACGTGTAAGAAACCCCTCGTTCATTCGGTCCCCAGCCTCGTGTTTCTTGACTTGGATCAGACCAGAGAAGATCACAAACTAATCCTTTGTCGGGAACATCAGTAGGCCGCTTTAAGTTCCTAATCTGATCCAACTTGTCTAGGTGAGGAGACAGTCCACCATGCATACAGAGTATCCTTTCATCAATCAGAGCAGCCATAGGCAAGCAATTGAAACAGTCTGTGAATATCTTCCAGAGTTTGACATTGAATCTCCGTTTACATTCGTCGTAAAATCCGTAGATACGGTTAACAGATGCACATTCATGGTTGCCCCTCAAAAGAAAGAAGTTTTCAGGATATTTTATTTTATATGCAAGGAGAAGGCACATGGTTTCTAAGCTCTGCTTTCCACGATCTACATAGTCCCCCAAGAACAAGTAGTTCGAATGAGGGGGCAATCCACCATATTCAAGAAGCCTTAGAAGATCAGTATACTGGCCATGGATGTCTCCTGAATGCCATTGAAAACTAAATTTCAGTCATACATACAGAATAAACAGCTCAAAACAACTAAATATTGAATTGAAAAACACTCCCACCATAGATCATTACATGACCCACATTTCTAGTGCCCTGAGTCTACCCATCTAACTAGAACTTCAGTGATACAATTTTTAAACTTAGAAATCACAGACCTCCACAATCCACAATGGTATGATATGTCCACTTTAAGCACAAGCTCTCATGGCTTGACTTTTGGTTTCCCAAAAGGCTTCATATCAATGAAGATGTATTCCTTACTTATAAACCTATAGAGCCTCCTCTAAAGCCTTCATCGAGGCTCCTTACTTATAAACCTATAGAGCTCTTGAACAACCTCCCCTTAATCGAGGCTCAACTCCTTTCTCTAGAGTCTTCAAACAAAGTACACCCTTTGTTCAATACTTGAATCGCTTTTGACTACACCTTCAAGGCTAGCAACTTCATTGTTTCGACACTTAAGGATTCGATTAGCTGACTAAATTAAGGGCATAGCTCCGATACCATGTTAGGAATCACGAACCTCCACAATGGTATGATATTGTCCACTTGGAGAATAAGCTCTCGTGGCTTTGCTCTTGCTCTCATTTTAATCAAACAAGGAAGAGCATTCCTTCCTTTTCAACATGAAGCAACCAA